ATTTTATAATGTAGCAATGCTTTCATGAATATAATCGAGGGTTTGCTTTTTCTGCAGTTAATGCAGATAATTATCTGCAGTAAGCCCAATACGACGTTGTTTTTAGACGGAAATCATGGTATTTTTGTAATTTTAATTTATTTCAGGGTTATAATAGTCTTTATATTTATAATTTTTTAAGATTTCAATACCAAAATGATGTCATTTTGAGAATAAATGCAGATAACTTATCTGCATTAACTGCAGAAATATTTTTCCCTATAATCAATATACATCTCCCATTTTACCTCTTAATTAGTTCATGGATTTAATGGAATTTCAAATTATACTATATATTGCTGAAGTGACATTTTATATTAAACTTTGTAATAAGAAAAAGAGAAATTGTAATTGCATTGTATGGCAAAATTTGTTTTTAGATTGTCTATATATATTTGATCACAAATCAAATTGATAATAAGAAAAAGTATGCGGGTTTTGCATCCTTGTATAGGATTTAAAATTTGTCAAAATTAAAAAATTATGACTAAACAATTTTATTTTTTTTATGCGTGAAAGAAAAACGCGTAAATAAAATCTAATCAAATGTCAAGGCATAGCCGGCCTAGTTCATGTTTGAAATCAAAGCGTACTTGTGATTGCGATTTTCAAAAGAGTAATGTGACATAAAGCATTTCTTCAGTATCCCTAAATTCTTGATACATGGAATAACTCAAATGTTGTTATTTTTTTAGAGAAATTATACTCTTATCTTACATGAGATTCATCTTTCATGTTATACTCACATAAAAAAAATATGCCTTTCTTTTTCTTCTTTTTTTAAAAAAAATAAAATTGATAGGCCCCACTTTATTTATCTCACAACATAAGATAATTTCTCTCATACTACATAAGAGAAGTAAAATCCTTTTTTTAATTACCTTTATAATAAAATTTCTCCTATTAAATTATATTTTTTGTTTAATAATTAATATTTTATACAAATTACCACGTAAATAAGATACATAAACAACATTTAAAATAATGTTATCATTAAACCAATGGAAAATGTTGCAAAAATGCCTAATTTATTTTTATCATCTCCAATGGCCGAGTTCGTGAAGAAACTTCTTCATCTATATTATTTTCTTGCAAGCTTCAGGCGTCCACTATCAGTTTTTCATCAGGAGCCAAATTGTTCAATGTCACACTATCGGCAGGGGTGTTAACGGACCGAGCCGAACTTTGATTTTAAAAGGCTAAGCCTGTGTTTAATTGTGTCAACTTGATCAAGCCTAACCTGTTACCTGTTATGAATATAATTATCGGCCTGTGGCCTGACTTATTTACAAGAAATAAAGGCCTGGTTTAGCCTGTTTAAAAAAAATAAGACAACAAAAATTTATCCAAACAGGATATACAATCAACAATGCTAGTAATTTCATAAATATTCATAATTTCAATGTATATCCAAACAACATAATATAGAACAAAAACATTCAAAAAGTCTGTTTAACCAATAAAATGGGGTGAAATAGATTAAGAAAAGAGAGATGGTTACAAGTAGTATAAAAAATATAAAATAAAATAAAAATAAAAGTTAATATATTAGGCTAGTCTGAGAGGATTTAAGGTCGAGCTTTTGAATTAGAGCCTAATGCCTTTTTCTTAAACGAGCTTTTATATAGGTCCAAGTTTGGTTCCAACAACCAATTTTAGACATGTAAGCTCAAGTCTTCATGAGCCGAGCCAAAGGCCCCTGGTTCGTTTATCACCCCTAACTACCGGGGTATCTAGCTTTCTGGCAACGAACTCAGAAGTAGCACAACTTACAATTGGTCATCAATTTTCATCTCGGCTTTGGAAAGCTGATTCACAACATCTTTGTACGTGTTGAGATGCTTAATCATGTTCATGTCGTCCTTGTATTCAAGCTTCACAAGTCGGCGAACCAGATGTGCTTTGTTCTTGGGACTCTTTTTTTGTATCATGGACTTTAGCTTTGTCCATAACTCATACACGTTGTTAAACTCGGAAACGTGCTCAAAGAGGCTTTTGTCGATATACTTCCTTATCATGGCCACAGTCTTTCAATTCAGGATTTTTCGTTCCTTCTCATTCTTTCATTTAGGTATTGATTCATTAAGGATGGACTTATATAGGTCTTTGCAAAACAAGTGATCTTCCATCATCGATCTCCAATATGTAAAGTTGTCAATTGTCAACTTGAACATGTCTCCTTCTTGAGCAATACCACTGGTCTCCATCTTGTCTCTTTAGAATCCTATGAACTTGAGCTTTGATACCATTGTTGGGACAAGGTCCCTCAATCAGCGCGGAAGCAAAATATCAAGTTGGCACGTCAAACTCTGAGCTCGGCACTATGAGGTTGGCCTGAAGTCACCGGGTCGGCCAATTCGTGCAAACGAGAAAAATGCAGAAATGAAAGTTACTTAGAGGAAACACACCAAATTTTAACATGAAAAATCTTTTCCTAAAACAGAGGAGTAAAAATCACAAGACACTAGTCCAGAAAACCTTCTCTATGTAAAACTAGGAATACAAGAGATCAAACTTCACCCAAAAATGGTGGTTACAATGTTCTTCTTTAAAGAGGTCACACTCAAACTTTCATTTAGAAGATTTTCTTAAAGTTTTTTAGTTAACCTAATACAAATAGTTACTATTGTATATAAAGGGTGAAGAGAGTCCTACACTTTTTTCTAGAATCTTCATCAATGATTAAATAAGTCATGAAGTGGTTGTGCAGACATTAAGACATGCACCCATAAATGAGGTGCATGCTTTGCCATCAGCATTACAGGAAGGAACACACCAATAAAAAATGCCTAATTTTTTTTTATCTCCAATGTCTTATAAAATTTAAATAATTTTTAATTTTTAATATATTATATTAAATAAATTAAAAATTATTTTAAAAGTTCATATATATATATATATGTGTATATATAAAAGATTTTTATTAAAAGAAAAGGTTGAACTAAATAATGATTGGTAATAAAAATATCATGACAATAATAGCAGAAAAATATATATTTTTCATACTAAAAAACAACGTCTGTTATTATCTAATGATATGATTAGTATATTATTGTTGGAGAAGTTCTAAAAGACAAGGGATAATAGGATATGGTAATAATGTGTATTTACGTTGTAATTTGCATAAAATATTAATTATTAAACAGGACATTATCATTTAATAGGAGAAAATAATATAAAGAGATTAAAAATAATTACTGACAGTCATAAAACATATCTAGCAAATTATTACAATTTCAACAAAATCTTTTTGTATAAATCAATATTTTCATATTAATAACACTGTTCTAAATTGACGGTAAATAGAGACAAGACTAGTAATGAATACTATTTGGCTTTTTGACGCATGAAGGGGACACAGCCTTACTTATATCCATTACCTAATGATTATTCATACCGCGTGTCCAAGTTCATCGTTTGACCGAAGTTAGTGTTGACTGAAATTATTTATGCTTAAAACTTTATAGCAAAAGGGAAAAATATTTCTGGAATGAGATAAAATCACCTCGAACAATCTTGAAGTGATATCATTTTATGTTTAGGAAAAAAAATATGTTATTTTAATAATTTTTCTTTTTCTTTTTCTTTTTATCATGTAATTTTATTAAAATATCCAATATTTTTTTTTTAAATCCCAAAATGGCATGCACTGTTTTTTTTTTATAATATTTGAGAAAAGTATAATATCGTGATTTGGTGTTACCCAGGTTTGTAAAAGAAAGCAATTTGCAGCACAATAGCTTATCCAGAAGTCCAAATTTATTGTGGTAGATGAGTTTGACTTGAACACTATCTATAAATCCAATCGCCCCTTTTTCTTTTGAGGTTAAGTCAATTAATATATAGAAATATTACTCCCCTTTTATATAAGATAATTTCTCTCGTACTCTCTCACTTCTTTTGCACCACACTTTTTTCTTTTTTTCTTATAATGGTGGGACTTATCCATTTTTTCTCTGCAACATAAGATAACTATCCTATCTTATGTAAAAGGAGAATAATAAAACTTATTAATATATATATTATATATATAATGAATAGACGTGTGCTATAAAAAAACGTGTATATTGAGAGATGAATAAAAAAAAATTGTACTTATGAACTGGTGCTGCTGCAAGTTGCCAATTTGACATCAATTGAGGATAAGAGCAAAATTTGTATAAAACAGTCTTTGTGGATTCAACTTGCCAAGTATCAATGACACTGACTACCAAAATGGACTTTAAAAACATTTTGGGTGCAACTTGCCAATTCAATGACAAGTTGATACAAATTGGATAAAAGTCCCTATTATACATAATCTAACAAATGACGTGTCGAAACAGAATTATCCAGGTGGAATTTGCATTTCAAGTGGGTTAATTAATTTAGTTTATAATTAAATGAGACTCTCCATGAGTATAACAAATATTATATTTGGATATTTTCATGTCGGCTCTTAAACTTCTCACACCACCGACTTGAAATAGTTGCAAACCGTCAAGTTGGTTCTCTCCACACAAACGCCACAAATTTTCAGCTTTCACACCTGCACAATTTGACCCATCTCTACTATTAATCCTTATTATCCATGCTTTACTTCCTCAACTTGTTTGTATCAGAGTTTCTGCAGAGCAAAAGGGAATCTAATTAAGGGTGACAGATATAGTATATAATATACTATAATGAATATATGTTAAAAAAAAAACATCGAATCTTTCAAACCGCTTGTTAATTATATTCTACTTTAATTTCTATTCTATCTATTTATTTCATATTGGGGTACAACAAATTCTTCATTTAAACACTTTCCATCGTACATGTGTGGAAAGTTCATTTATCTTTGAAGGGTTTGCATTGCATGCAAAAAAACGAAGAGCTGAACTCGCTTGATTTACATGTGTATGTCAAAGGTGGCGAATCCTAAAGATAAGGGAAACGAGGCTTACCAAAGTGACTTTGATCACATGTTTTCAATGCCAATGATGTTTCCAGGTATGAATAGGGAGAGTGAGATGTCAGCAATGGTTTCGGCTTTGTCCCATGTTGTCGGTGGTGGTGATTATGCTGTTCATCATCAGAATATGAACCATAGTGCAATTGGAGTAGATGGTGCTGATGCTTTTACTGTTACACAAAACATGCCTTCTGGTTTTGTAACACCATCTTCATCTTATGGTGGTAGTACTTCTGCCTTCAAGAGAAGGAGAGAAGATGATAGATCCTCTGGTGATTTCTCACGTGGAGTTTCATCCCCTGCTATTCCCTCAAGTAAGCACCAAATTGAATATTTATAATCTAAAAATCATTTTTTTTAAGAGTATTATTTGGTCTTGGATATATTGATTGGTCCATGCATGTTTGAAAAACATTATGGAATAATAAAAAAAAGTTTTTATAACTATCTTTTTCTACTCATTTTTGACATATCTAGAAGTATAAACTTAAAAAAAAAACACAACAATTCATGATTAGGATCGTACACAGGACACACATCTGAATATAATATTAATTGATGACCAAAAAAAAAAGTAATCTAGATCAAATATTATGTTCGTTTCTTTATTTATTAGGATACACACACAACATGTTACGTAATACAAGAAAATATAGGCAACAAATCTATTTCTGGTCCTATCTTAGTGAATTTTTAATTTGATGAGTGGAAAGAAAGACCCCCTTTTATTTTTTTTTGTTGATGTTGGATTCCATTCTATGCAATACAGTGGTAAAGTTTTCAAGCAACCGAAGCAGCACAACAAGAAGAAGAGAAACAAGCCAACTAGAAAATTCAGTATATGAATACAGAACAGAGAATATGAATAGAGAACAAAACCAACAAAAGAGAAAATACAGAGGAGTGAGACAAAGGCCATGGGGCAAGTGGGCTGCAGAGATAAGAGACCCATTCAAAGCAGCAAGAGTGTGGTTAGGAACATTTGACACAGCTGAAGCAGCAGCAAGAGCCTATGATCAAGCTTCATTGCGTTTCAGAGGCAACAAAGCTAAACTCAACTTCCCTGAAAATGTTAGGCTCAGGCAACTTTCTCTTAATCCAACATCCACCCATTTGAGCATTTCCGATTCTCAGTCCATTCCTTCTACCACTGAGCCATTAGTTCACACTGAAGCAATTCAAACTTCGCAGGGTTCCAACAATTTTTATGACTATTCACAGGTTCAAGACTACCCCTTCACCCTATATGACCAGATTATTATGTCATCTACCATGGCTTCTCATCTTCAATCTTCCTCATCTCCATCAGCTTCTTCTTCTGTGACTTCTCCGCAGGCAGCTTCAATTCCTTCCATTTATTCTACCCAGCTGCCACCATCGTCTTCTGGTTATAGCTCCTCTCCCTCTGGATGATTTGATCCCATTTCCTTATTATAAGTTAGTAATATTTTTTTTTTATATTTACTTTTTTTGAGTTAATTATTTAATAACTAGAGAGATGTACTTTGAATTTAGGTTCTTGAAGCCTTTCGATTTATTTATGACTTTTTAGAATTTCTTAAAATATTCTTTCTTAGAAACAAGAAGGGCGTCGTTCTTACAACCTAAAAATTTTATAATTTTTTACAATTTATGTTTTTACTGTTGATTTTCGTCAAATTTAACTATTATAATTTATTAGAAATTAATAATTAATTAATAAATATGATTCAATAAATCATAATCGTTGAATTATGAAAATCAACGATAAAAAAAATAAGTTGTAAAAGGTTAAAAAACTTTTAAGTTATAAGAATAACCGTGCTCTTTAAACAAATATGATAAAGTGCTGAAGGCGAGAATTTCTCTTAACATATTTTTTCTATATAAACGAATTCCAAAATCAAATTTAAAAGCACATAAGTCATTTAAATCCCTTCCACTCATGCAACACAACATTTATAATTTAATTGTGGCTTGCGTTTGAGCAAAGTAATTTCAATTTTTTGCTTTGAAGCATCCTGCAAATGAGGTATTGAAAGCAAACTAACGCCACACGTTAACACTTTATAGCTCGGTGACGTGCAAAACACCACAAAAAAAGATAATGATGTGCAAGTAACTGATAAGCAATGGCATTAGCTATTTAAGACCATTAACTCAAATTAAAAGGCTTAAACATAATTTTATGATAATTTCATTTATCATGAGTGATCGTGTAATCATATTTTGACCTTTGCTCAAAATCCTTTTCCATAAAACATGCAATTTAGATCTATTTCAATAATTTTTAACCCCGTCCGTACTGGAATCACAATTCCCCACTATGGTCATGGAAAATAGTAAGGCAGTGTATGGTTATGTTAGAGAAGCCAAACATAGTTTTACATTAAGTCAAACGTGATTTTACAATCAGAAATTATTTTATGTGAATTTCATATTCATTACTTTCGCCGTGATTTTGCCTCTAAACTTAAGGTATAAACAAAAATTTATTACTTTTGCACATTAATATTATTCAAACAACATTCTCATTAATGTTAGTAGCGATCAAGCAGAGTTTCAAAGGTCAGATAAACATTCGTCTAGCCAGGAGCATCATAGCCCAGGACAATCTGAACTGTAAAGCCTATGGACCAACAAGATTTTATATCTCCAGGGTTTTGAACAATTAGTATTCAGACTCGTGCGATTCTTCACCCAAGACAAATGCAATTGCTTTGGGTATGCATGGATTGATGAGATTGGTAGGGAAAAGGAGCAATTTTACCCTTGGTAATTATTTATTTCTAAATTGAGAAAATCATAAAATGTGTATAAAAATGATTAACCGATATTAGAAAGTTATATAATAATCCCTCATTCCAAAAATTTCTCAACCAAGGAGAATTTTCCCTTAAAATGAAAAATATCGTTTCCCCTTCAAACTACTCCATCCAAACATAACATTCGGAAATTCCAAATTTATGCACTCGAATAATAGAAGTTTGCATGCAGCTCGCAAATTATCATGAAGGAAAATAATAACATGACACATCCTATTGCACAAGAAAATGAAATTAGCGACCGAAAGGTCCAAAAGAAGATTTAGCCAGACAAAAAGAATAAAAATAAGCACTCAATTTCTTGCCACTGCTGCAAACAAGACCGTTTATGGTCCTGTCATAAGCCAGTGGTATGTGGCAGCAGTATACAACAATGTTACTGTCAGTACTAAGAAGCATATATCCAGCTCTACCCTGAACGCATGAATGACAAAAATATAAAACGAAAAAGGGATCGTTTAATGCAATTCTTCATCAACCCAATTGGTGACGATTCAAATGAACATCCCTGAAAAGACGATTTTAGTCCAAAATCACATCCATATTGAGGTGCCCCTGCAATTACCAGAAACAAGCATTATGATAAAATAAGAAATACTTCAGACATGAAAACAGTCATAATTCTACCATTTTCCATAAGTCACAGACATCCAATCCAGTGTTTCCAACTCCCAATGACGATAAGAAAAATTTGAGAGAAGAGCAAGGGAGAGGAGGAAAAGGACAAAAGCCTTACCCATTACTGTAATTGTTGATAAGGACCGTCTTAAACCTTCAAAACAGCTTTATGAACCATGGTTTCCTTGTGTATTTGATGACAGCTCTTCTCCACAAGATCAAGCAGTTTCTCCAAGTTTGCTGCCCATGAGTTAAGAATATCGTTGCTATCCTTTGCTGTTTGGAAACAAACTACTCCCATTGGCCTATCAATCTTTGCCACCAGTGCCTTAGACACGACCATATCTGAGAGGTGCTTCTCGGCTTCCTGAATTTTGTAAGGAGAATTAATTAGGATCATCACACTTAAGGAAAAAACATTCTAGACACTTTAAAAGATGCAAGTGAAATAAATTCAGTTGCAACATCCATATTGACATTCGGCTCAACAATAAGTAACAAAATAAACAACTTGAGGTGACAAGTAACTACAGCAGCATACCAACAGACAGACCCTACCAATCCCAATTCCCCCATTAGCTTCACTCTGCAAGAAAAAAGCTTCTCCTTTGAAACACTAGTATCTGGTGACAGACACTAGGAGGTATGCCCTCATGCCATTCAAAAAAGTTACCACAGTAACAATAAACAGCACACAACCACAACTAGGGGTATGCATGGCTTGAATTAAACTGAATTTTTTGAAAAAAGAACCAAATTGGTATAAACGGTTCGGTTCACTTCAAAACCGATTCGATTCGGTTCGGTTCGCTTTAAAACCGATTCGATTCAGTTCGAAAATGGTTCAGTTGGAAACAGTTTGGTTTGGTTCGGTTCGGAACCAGTTCGGGTCAACCCTTTTCTGAAAGGAAAAGAAATTAAAGAAATAAAGTAATAAAACCCAGTTCCGTTCGGTTCGGTTCTTGAATTGGTTTTAAAAACCAGTTTGGTTCATGAACTGGTTCTTTAAAAACCAGTTCGGTTCATGAACTAGTTTTTAAAAACTACTTATTTTAAGTGCAGTTCAGTTCACAATTCAGTTCAGTTTTTTAGTCATTTTGCACATTCCTAACCACAACTAGATTTACGAACCTGTACACTGAGACACAAAAGCTCTGCAAGTCTCTTCAAAGTAATCCTTGCGTAGTATTTTGATACAACAAGAATATTCTGAAAGGTAACAAAAGTAGTCCATATTAATGCTCGCATAAAGAAGTGTGAAATATAAGGCATATACCAACCAACCAAATTGATGGGAGGATAAGAAAGAAATATAATGGCATCAATTAATTACATGCTCAATTATTCTTTGCCTCAAATCATCTGCTGCTTTTTCACCCAGAGACTTCCCAGAGATCTTCTCATTCTCAAACTCATTCTTATATGTATCCCAAAGATTCGTCCATTGGATGACCTCCATGGTGACCAGCTGTTTCAAAAGTAGCCTATGGCACAACATATAACCGGTAACCTAATGAGAAAGGAAATCCTAAACAAAATAATTGAACATGAACAGGAAGACATGTGAGATAAAAAAACAGGAAAACATACTTAAAATTTGGAATCTCAGACAGATTCTTATCCTCCAAGGTAGAATTGAGAAGGCTTGACTGCATTGGATCATGGGGAGATAGAACCAAATACCAGCATATTTTCCTCAGGATCTATAGTTAAAGATAATATTCAGAAAAACATAATATCGTATAACAATAAAATCTTACAATAAAACAAAAAGCAAAAAAAAGAAAGAAAAGAAAAAGAGAAAGCCTACTGGAATCCAGTCGGCAGGGTTTTCTTTGACAGACGGAATCTCATATATTGACTTGTAGCAACGGCAAATTTCAAGATAATCATTGTTATGGGAATAATACCTTAAAACATAAACAGAAACCAGCATAAGACAACGAAGATTTTAAGATCAGCAGCATGCAATAGGTATTTTAAAAATATGGAGCATAAACTGAAAATGGTATAGAAGCATAGCACATAATTTCAAAAGCAGTGGGGAATTTAATGGTACATTATACTCAACTATGACAACTTCCCTACACTTTATTATAGTCACATGTCAAATGCCCTAACCCAGACACACAAACTCATATAAAATCATTTTCAATTATATATAATTCAAGGGAAATACTTGTCTTATGTTGCACACTCATAAAATCTTGTGCCCATTTTTTCTTTTCATTTTTTCTTTTTTTAAAAATTGTGGGCCCCACAGCTTTGTTTCACCAACATAAGATACATATCTTATGTAACATAAGATTAATATCTCCCATAATTCAAATGAACTAGGCCTCAAGTCCTCAACAACAAAACAGCATCAATGACAATTGAAAAATAAAGCACTGCATATGGTAAAAGGACAATGCGCATGAACCTTACAGGAATTACAAAAATCACCAAAAATGAAAGAAAGAAAAAATCGTGACTTCGCAGTAGAAAAAATTTACAGAGAGGGACAAAAATGCCATTTTCGAAACAAATATCAATTGTAAAAACAAGGAATATTCATGTTAGGAAGGATAACTATAATCTGCATGGCTGCAAATTTGTTGACTTCAAACTCATTTTTATATTTCTAATGCAAGCTAGTTTGAATTGTTTTAATAATCCTCTTTCATACAATTCTAAGTAGCAGACAAACTTTGCAATATGTCAGGATGTTTGAACAGTCAACTATGCACAACGTTATTGTTGATTTCAAGATGGTGAAGAAATAGGAAGTATTAGGTAAGAATAGAAAGTACAGGAACATATAAAAATGGTACTTTGGCTTTGTTGGAAAGAAAATAAGTAATTAAAATGTGGAATGACTGTCAGAGAATTGGATGTATTTGATAAGAACCAAAAATGGCCTATTACTACAGTTTAAAATGGTTTACTTCAGTACAAGATGTACTACTTAAAGAAGTTGTGGTTATTACAACAATAAATAACAGTTTAGATTAATCACAATTCTATCACTACATTTTAAACAAACTATACACTCTAAAACAACTCCTTATCCTTACACTATTTGATATTATTGCCAAATGGGGTCCAGACCAGTTTGCAGGAAACTTGACAAATCAACCTCCCTAGTTTGGTCAAAGATAAACCACCAATGCTGAGACTAAAGTATTCATGAGGAAACTACTTGCAATATGGGCCCAAGATTTTCAACTTGAAAATGGTAAGATTTGAATCTTTGACAGTTTTGACAGTGCACCTAATTACAAATCACATGCTTCCCCTCTAGAATTAGAGGTTAAACTATATATGCAAAAGTGCTATGAAGATGCATATCATCATAAAATACAATATAGAAATGTAAACAAATTAGCAATTAAATTTTTAATAATTTCCAAGTCTACCTATCCACAAATGCATTGCAAAATAGTACCCATGGAAAGTGAAGTGATTTAATCCACTCTCTTCCATTTACACTTTAATATTTAGTAACATGGCTGGTTCAACCATTCAACAAATTACTTTTCCTTCTAGACGACCATCAAGCCAAGTAGGAAAAAAAAAAAACTTCAAAATAGTGGAGAAAGCCACGTACTCCAATCTGCATTTTATCTTTAGTACCGCAAAAACAAATAGCCAGATGGGTCAACAAATTAAAGTTCCACAGATCTAGTTAAAAAGATGTTAAGAGACCTTGTGTAATTAGAATCCGGAGATGGGGACGGGGACCCATGTCTGTTGAGCAGACAGTTAAGAGTCACACAGTTAATTAGGAATAAAAGGGGTACATCGGCAGTTGGTAAGGGTAGTAATGGATTGATTGAGAAAGGATGTTAGGGAAGAGTCCATGTCTCTCAACCTGGAATAGGAGGGTTAGTGAATCTGTTATTTGCACTATCCTTGTATCTTTAATTCCTCATCTCTGATCTTGCATCTCATTAATGCAGACACAGAGATAGAGATTTCTGTCAACAAACATTCTGTTTCCTTTCTATATTCTGATCCAGTATCGTTAGAGGTCATGTGTAGTTAGAAAGGGAGATGGAGACTGGGACCCAACTCTGTTTAGCTGACAGTTAAAAGTCACACGGGTAATTACTAATTAGGAATAAAAGGGGGAATGGGGGGTCAGTTAAAGCAGTTATTTATTGATTGAGAGAGGAAGTTAGGGGAGAGTCCAGGACTCTCGAATTACTGGAATATGAGGGTTAGCAGAACTGTTATTCTGCACTATCTTTGTATCTTCCACTCCTCATCTCTGATCTTGCATCCCATTGATACAGAACCAGAGATAGAGGTCTCGGTCGTTAAACATTATGTTTTCCTTCTATATTCTGATCCAGTTCTATTAAGAGGATGAGACAGAAAGATTCAGATGCACTTATATTCCCAAGTATATTTAATCAAACCTGGACAAATGCAAGCTACACTGATAGAGAGAGAATGAACACATGCAGTGCAGATACATATTGCAGATAGACAGTCATTAGCTACAGATGTTTATTTATGGAGGTATCTCAAATGCACATATTGAACCCACTTGCAATATTGGTTAATTTTCAAAATTCAGGCTGACAAAAGAAGCATATTCTCAATTATTTATTACCATACCAAAACAGAAAATCTCAAAAGCCAGAATCATTTTGAGCATCTACCTGAAGATAAGTAGTTCATATCAAATTAAATGGAAAGAGACATCAGGTATACAAGGTTAAGCCACAATATTTTTGACTAAATCAAGATAGAACAAGAAATACAATGCGGCACGTTAGGTTGTATGGATTCAATTACCTAATCATTAGTTCATAATAGATCCGCTTCAACTCCAGCAGAGATGGTATATCTGCAGGAGCCTCTCCAACAACATTATCACCTTCTTTAGGCTTTTTCTTTTCCTTAGATGCATCAGCATCAAATACTCTTGGACTAATCTTTCTTGAGAGTATTTGTGCACGAACATAATCCTGGCGGTCTAGGCACAAACGGACCTACATAATTAAATGCAGAAGATTCTCAAATCAGCAACTGAATAGGCCTATTACTGCTGTCATCACTGAAACAAAGAGAAAAATGCCTCATACTTGTTCGAGGATGAATGCAATTTTCTCAGTTTTTGCCATGGCACCAAAAGTTTCCACCTGTTAAGATTACCCATTACATAAGTAAATTCAAAAGCTAATTGCAATAATCCAAAAAACGAAGATATGTAAATGCCATCAAAATAGGACACATTCACACTGACCGCAATTTCTTGCATCAAATCAGCTGCTTCAGCTATAAGCCCTTGTTCTTCTTTAATCTTTGCAAGTTTCTTGATCAACCTAGCTCTCTCAATCTCAACATATATCTAACAACAATACAACACACATCTTATATGATGGATGATGATATACAGGAAGATTATAAAATGGAACGGAGAGTTCAAACATCACATGCTCACCTTCCCTGCAGATACACTGTTCAATGTTTTGATTAGTTCAATACGAGTTTCAACGTCTGGTGTCTCATCAATATATTGCATAGCCTGCTGGACCATAGCTGTTACAGCCTGCGAACATAGGATGAGCTCATTAGATAACAAACAACACCTTGTTTCTTATATCATTTACAAGACATCCAGCTAATATCTGAGCAGAATTACTAGCAATGAAATTATAAGTTGTCAAATGCAGAAGCTATGCAGATGTCCTAATCGCAAATAAATCTACAAGGTAGGGAACTAATATTGCCATGTTCCAGCATTTTGTTTCTTAAACAAACCGTAAGCAATGGAATCATAAGTTATCAAATGCAAATATTTTTAAGACGTAACTCCACACGGTACGGAATTAACATTCTGATGGTCCTAACATGCTGATGGAAAATAATGAAATCAGAAACAACGAAAATAAAAAAAACCTATACTCCTTCTAACTGCGCACTAAGTACCATGTTCCATTGGTTGTCTAAACAAAATTTCCATCAATCATTCACTCGGGACTACTAAGCATTTGTAAATAAACAATAAACAAAAAAAACAATTTACATTCTAAAATGAACAAACAACCACCAATGCTTTATAGGGAACTAAAAGGTGCGCAGCGATTCAAGTAAACTAAGAGGTTCTTCAGCATAAAAAATAAAATAACAATAATAATAATAATTTATTATTTATCACCGGTGCGCAGCGAGTACCTGCTTAAGCTGGCCGCGTCGTTTGGACAATACGATAATCTGATCATTGAGGGTTTTCCATGCTCGCGCGTCAAAGCAGAGCTGCAAGATGTCGGTAACGGCCTTTCTGGTGCCGGCCACGTCACCGGCGAGCCTCATCTGCTTCTCTACGTTCAGTAATTGCTCTATCGCCGCGTCTAAATTCCCTGTATTCGCCTACAAAAAAATTTCAGAAGAACCGTCAGTTCCGATTACCTGAATCGTTAAATTTCAGTTCAGAAGATAAAAAAATAAAAAAAGTTATAGTGGAAGTGACAAAAGAAGTAGAACACGCATGCAGACACAATTTTTTTTTTTAAAAAAGAGAGATCTGAAAAGGCTTCGATCAATGAATGAATTGAGTAAGGAGAAGAGATGTATACCATGGTTGGGTTTTGGGCGAGTCTAGAGAGAGAGAGAGAGAGAGATCTACGAAGTAGTCGCTAAGTATTGAAAATTGAAAAATAAAGGAAAAGTGTAAGTGAAGAAAAGAATGAAAATATTAATAGAAGCTCTTTTTATGCTGCTACGGGCCCATCTCGACCCAACTATTTCAATAGCCCGGCCTCAGTTTCATGGGCCGATCCGGCCCAATAACATCAAAAGGCTTAACTGAAGTTCGCCGTCACATAGTAGCAGTACTGTAGTAGGAGGAGGAACTGAAACTTCAAGGGTTCCATAAAGAACAAAGCTTTTTTCAAAAAAAAAATTTCTTTTTCTTATTGAAATAAAGAGAAGCAAGGTTAGAAAAGAAAGCTATGTTGGGTCGAAGTCATAAGAATTGGAAACTAGCCTCTAGGATTCACGTAGCAGTTGGTGGCCTTGTGGGTATAGTTGGTATGATATTATTGTCACTTAAAGATGGCAAAATGGTGATACCAACTAGCTTGCCATGGTCCTTTGGTAGAGATAATAGGTTGGAGAAATCGCTCTTGGTTCCCGGGTTGCAAAACCTCGAGAACAATTGTTTCCTTAACGTTGTTTTGCAGGTAAGGTTTTTTTTGTTTTCTTTGTTTCTTCAATTGGCAAATGAATTTTGATATGTGTTTTGCAAATTGTATATTTCTTTGTTACTTGCTTTGAGTTGGAATTGTTGCAGGCTCTAGCAAGCTGTTTTTGCTTTCAGAGTTTTCTTCATAGCGTGATTAGAGAATGTGGGACTAACGACCTGGATGAAAGCATTCCTCTTGCTGTTTCTTTGGCTACTTTATTAGAAGGTAACTCCTTATTAAGTCTATTTCTGCGATTGAATTTTGCTTATATAACCTTAATACTATGGGTGCTATTCTCTGCTTGGAATGGGGCATAGTTCTATGTAGCCAGGGGTGTTAACCGTAGAGCGGAATATAATTATCGGCATGTGGTCTGGTTTAGCTTGTTAGTCTGTTAAAAAAAATCAAGACAACAAAAATTTATCCAAACAGAATATACAATCAACAATACTAGTAATTCCATAAATATTCATAAATTCAATGTATATCCAAAGAGTATAATATAGAACAAAATCATTCAAAAATTCTGTTTAACCAATAAAATGGGGTGAAATGGATTGAGGAGAAAGAGAAGGCTGTTACAAGTAGTATAAAAAATATAAAAATAAAAATAAAAATAATATACTAGGGCAGCCTGAGAGACTCTAACGCCGAGCTTTTAAATTGGAGTCGGAGGCCTCTTTATTAAACGAGCTTTTATAAAGTTTAAGCCTGGTGTCAACAAATAATTTTAGACATGTAAGCTCAAGCCTTCACGAGCCGAGCCATAGGCTCCTGGTTCGTTTAGCACCCCTATATTACCACCATGCACTTTCAGTAAAAGCTATTCTGTAATTACTAAAAAAAATTGCTACTCTTAATATGCAAGGTCTTCTTCCTTCCTTCCTCACTCCCAATTCCCATTTTTCCCTTGACATTTTCTGTTTGAATTCTATGATGGAATGCAGTTCCCTTCAGGATTTGTGCTTAAAAAGTTTATGATTCTTAAATGTTCTATCTATTTTCATTGAAATTGATTTTATGGAGAAAGACATATTTTCTGATTCAGTTTTGTATCAAGTACTGATGAATCACTGTTGTTATATGTTTGCAATAATGTTCTATATGTGCAGAGCTGAGTTCGGTTAGTACAGAAAAGGTCATATTGAGTCCACGAAAGATGATGCTTTCCATGTCCAATTATATTCCAAACTTTAATCTGACAAGCCAGCAGGTAGAATTGTGTTTCTTTAATGATTTAACAACCAAAATGATGGTTTAGTTCTATGTCTTACTCATGCTTAGTTTTTGTTCTTGTAGGATGCTGCGGAAGCGTTTCTTCATCTGTTATGCTCTTTGAGAGTAGAATTTGGAGGTTGTTATGCTCCAAAGATGAGTTCTTTAGCAGACATTTTTGCTTCTAATAATAGAATTCTAACTCCAATACAGAGTGACTGGCAGAGTGAGCAGGAAAGATGGCAGCAACTCTTCCTTGGACCTTTGGATGGGATTCTTAGTAGCAGCTTAACCTGTCAAAGTTGTTCATCCCAGGTACATGAGACTTTCCTCAATGCAATGTAATAAACGTTTCCCCATTAATTGCATGTACGCACCATGTTCCTTGTTTGTAATATTAGACTTTCATCAATGCAATGTAATGAACGTTTCACCATGACTTTACAATTTTACATCTGGCTTAGGTGCATTTTTTTTTAAATCATTCTATAACTGGCTAGTAGGAGGGCTATGGTTCAGAGAGATGTTTTTATTGACTTGCAGTTTTGATTTGACACCATTGCATTTGGGGGGGAGATGTTGTTGGATAATGTTAAAGCCACTTGGTAGAACCACTAGGAAGAAATAAAGTTAGTGATTTCAAAATGGCCAAAAGTTGAGAGAAATATATGAATTGGGGTTATTGGAAGGAATCACTGGGGTTTTATAAGCTAATAAAAAACTCTATTTTGGCTGTTTTATGTGTTAATTTTGATTTTCTAGAATTTTAGTGTTTGACATGTTGAGAGATTTAATGGTGGTAATGGTATAAAGGGTAATTATTGAGGCCACAATGTTAGCTCACTAGCTCATTGCTCACGTTCTTAAGATAATTTGACTGGACTTATTGTTGCCTGCAGGTTAATGAAATGACTAAAGTCAAGTAACTGAATTACTCCAAGCTTGTAATCCAAGTTACTAATAACCTGACTGTACTTTTTGGTTGGGCCAGGTCTGTGGTCTGTGTAAGGCAGGAGGCATCCGTGTTAATAGCTTTTCTTTGATCATGATAGGCTGGTTATTGCATAATTAGATGTTGATTACAATTTAGATTTACATTAATATTTATTTTGGTTTTTAAAGATAACATTCCTCTATATTTTTTATGTAATTCTGATAATGTTTCTCTGTACCAGATTGTTATTATTTTTTTAACTTTATATTTTTTTCATTTTGCAGATCTCAATTAATTTCGAACATTTTGATTGTTTGCCTCTTTCACCTGTGCTTAGTGATATTTCTACCATAGTAAGTTTTAAAAATTAATGTCACTTATATTGTAGCTTCAATGTTATTTCTTTGATAATTGAAGAGCTGCATGCCAACTGTAGCTCCCTGACTATTGAATGTGACATGTTACAGAGAGTTGGTTGTACACTGGTGGATTGCCTGAAGCAGTTCATTGCTGCTGAACATGTGGAGAACTATTCCTGCAGCCACTGTTGGCATAACGCTGCAATCAAGTATCTTTCCTTAATGGAAGGAAATGAGGTCATCCTTGTGTGATCTTTTACTTATTTATAGATAAAGGCAGCTGAGGAATGCATAGACGTTGCTTGCTGAATCTAGCAATTGACTGTTCTCTATGTTGTCAATTTGTGATTTTTATGCTGGTGATACTCAGGTAGAACTTGAAAAGCTTAGGAGATGTTCTGACCAAGAGTTCTGCGATTGCCGAACAATTTATAATCTTGAGAAGCTACCTTGGTCAAATAGGTTTTCACGTACTCTGAAGCAGCTAAGCATTTCTCGATGTCCAAAGGTATGCATGCTCAATCTTCTTCCTGCACTTAGACATGTTATGTGCTCCTGTAAGATTGGATCCAGATTTGGTATTCTTTGGTGGTAGTGACAAACAGGAAGTCTATTGTTAAATAAACTAGCTAAACCTTTTGTCTTTATAGCATGATTTTTTGGATCTCATAGATTCAACTAAAACAATAATATAACTGCTGGGAAAGGGCAGGCAGAACCAGAAAAAAGGACTCCCTTTTTTGTGTTTTATTTTTTTATCTTTTTGGGGTGAGGGGGGTAGTACACTTTCTGAGCTACTGAAACGTTTGATTGTCTGGTTGCAGATTTTATGCATCCAATTGAAAAGAGTTTATATGAATGGGTTTGGAGAACCAGTCAAACTGCAGGTACTTGAATCTGACAGATTGGGTCCTCAATTCCTTGATGCCTCAATTTTTGATACCCTCACGCCCCTCCCCCCGTTTAAAAAAGAAAAGAAAAGAAAAGAAAAGAAAAGAAGAAAAATAAAGAGGAAAGTTCCCCAGACCAAAGGCTAATTGATTCTGCTTTTAAATGGCTTGGATGTCAACTTGACTATTATTTTAGATCCCCAAAACTTTTACAAAAGAATGTAATAACAGAGTAGCATATGAACATTCATTGAATTTCACAGAAGATTTTTTTGTCATGATGATGGTAATGCAGGGCCATATTTCTTTTCCATTGATTTTGGATGTATTGCCATTCATGACAACTAGGCTGGGAGTAAAGATACGGGAGGTAGATGTACAAAGTCTTCCATTAAATCTGCAGTATAGCAGAAGAAACTGTTTGGCAGACCATTATAATAACAGATTGCAATCTGAGATAAAAGCATTGAAATTCAGTGGCATTTATGGAGCAGAGAGAGAACAGATCAATTCAGATGGTCTTATTGATGATGGATCCGTATTTCCCTGCTCTCGCTCTTCAGAAAGCATTCACTCAGAGACACATATGCAATCCACTGACAAGGTTGGTCCGATTTTTGTGATACTGATGCATTTAGTTTACATTGAACCAAAAAATCCTTTATCCTTGCATCTTGTGTCTATCTATAATATTCCCCTTGGAAGAAGCTTCATGTGTCTGTCTGTCAGTCTCCGATTTATTTGTCAAGTATAAACTAAAATTTTCTTTCCTCTTGGTAATTTATCTCATGCCATGATCCAAAACAAAGTTTCTCATCACAAGCCAGTTCTTTTTAGAATGTGCTAAAATCAATTTCATAGCTACTAACTAATTTGGAGGATAATGCAACTGTCTAAAAATGGGTCCATTCGACCCATATATCCCGTCTACTCTCCTGCGCTGCTGTGCCCAGTACTTGTTGTGATGCTTGTGGTCCCGAAATCGAATAAATAAAAATGTATTTTCTTCTGGAATCTTAAAAATGGAAGAATAGTTAATACAATATTTACTTAGTAGTGGAGGTGCTTTTTAACTTCTCACTATGTTGTGCTTTGTCCAGGTGGATGTTTCTTGTAATTTAGTTTCTCAAGAAACATGTTTGTATGAACTTGTTTCTGTTGTGGAACACTTTGGAAGAGCTGGAAGTGGGCATTACACAGTTTACAGATGTGTGAGAGTGGAGCCCTCAGGGGATTCCTCTGATGAGTACGTCAATCAATCTCCAATGCGCTGGTTTTGTGTTTCAGATTCTCAAGTGCATGCTGTTTCAGAGGAAGATGTTCTTTCTACTGAGGCCAGCTTGCTTTTCTATGTCAGAATTCCAAATAACTGAAAAAAGAAAAGAAAAGAAATTCCTTTCTGTTGTTTTGGGAAGTTCTGGGTCCAGGAAGTGCATTGGTTTATATGTTCTCAGTCACAGGAGTCTGTGTTGTGGCGTTCAACTTGACCAGGAGTGGTATAAGGACGCTGGGAAGTTGTTCCAAAACGCTAGACATGATTCAATTCCTTACAAAAGATGGAAAGTTACGTTTGAGCTTTTGCAGAGGGTAATTTATAAAGAGGGAATAAATTACCACTTTTGGTTATTCAGTTTGAAGTGAATGATTACTCAGAGTGGCTATTCACTTGTTCCCTTGTTCTAGTTAGACCCATCAAAGGCTATAAGTGTTAAAAAAAGAAACTGAATATCCTAACAGCTACAGTTGCATCGGAAAGCAAAAGCTTATGTTAATACGTGTTCAAACTGAGAGCATGTGTTGGGAATGTTGTTTTTAGTATTGGAATTATTGCTGAGTATTAGTTGTTCTTACTACTGTTAACAGGAAATTTAAATTATAAATTACCTCTATGACCAATAACTACATAACTGCGAGGCCATTCAACTTTCACTGAAAATTTTGGGGTTATGAATGCTCATGGCATTGAATTTGCTGAAGTAAATAATACCTAAGTATCTAACTGGTACTTCCTTTGTTGATTTTGTAGTTTCATAGTACTTCCTTTGTCTGTGATATAGCTGAAAAGTTGAACGTACCGTTTTATGTTCATCTTCAAATTCGAAATGAATTGCATTTGGTACTTGGATAAAATAGGGTTTGGCAGTTTTATTATGTCAAAAAAGTCGTTTTAGAGACAAGAGTTTAATTTATTATCAACGCCTGCAGTGATATTTCTTGCTCAATTAATATATGATCATTTAATTGTAGGGTCCATTTTTGTGCTCTTTCTGTTATTGTACTTTTTTTATTTATTAAAATTGCATATTTTGTATCAAATGTTACTACTAATAAAAGTTATAGACTGAATAATAAAAACTACAAACTCATTAAAGTCGGTTTTTCTCTTTTTTAGAAGCAGTGTTAGCATTTCAATTAATTTTGACTATTCTAGATGAATGCATATACTTATTATGGGATGGGATCTCAAATAGTGGCTAGTACTGGCTACATTGTCATTCCATACAATAAGTACAACGAATCAAAGGTTATTGCTGAAAGCCTGCCATCTCAACAAAAATTTCCAGAAATAAATTCCTCCTTTCTTAAAATTAGATAATCCCTCAAATTAGGGAAATTAAGCAATCATCTCCTACTATAAATACAGGGTGCAGAGTATGTACATACTCGCCACATTCTCTTCAAGTTCGAAGTGCAAACCTTAATTTGAAGATCGGAATACCTCACCACTTTTTTGTAATAGGAGCTCTGAACACCATAATTAAAAGAATTATAAGATTTTGTATTTTTTATGTGCATGAGTTAGAATCCCATTCAACTAATAATTTTACTAAGTGGTTATCATGATTTTTTATAAAGAACTCTATATATGCGATAATTAAGTATCCTTTTTTTTAGTTAAACAAAAAACCTTAAAAACAACTCTATTACTATTTTTCATCATAAAAGATTACACATATTAACTCTTTACAAACCAACGAGTGTGCCATATATTTAAAAGATATATTTTACATAAATTAAATATTTTTTCTTCACACTATACATATTAGCCTCTTGACAGACATTCATTTCTGTACCACTACGTAATTTAATTATACAATTAAAAGAGAAATTTTCATAATCTTTTGAATGATACATTTTTTCTAATTCAATGAAAAAGTATTTTTTTTGAAGATTTTTTTAATTACTCTAGAAAGAGGAGGAAACAGTACATATATGGAAAATAATTTGAATTTTACTCTAGAGGTAGCCATGTAGGACAAGTGGATTTGGATAGATTTTAAATGATACCATATTTATTTATTTATTAATATAATGTGAGATATTATGAAGGGCATCTCCTTTAGACTAGAATAGAGACAAGCTTCAATTTGTTTTGTTTTTCTTAATTTACACGCAATTATTTCAGAATTACGAGATATAGACAGAAGATAATAAAATTATGAGAAAAGATACTTGGGCAAATTTTGTGAGACATATATGTAAACAATTTGAATGATTTAAAACGTTACTTTATAACTAGGATGTAAATAAGTTTCTATGAGTGTGAATGTAAGTTTATATAAGTATCGTTATTTAAAAGGGTTTTATTAGTGTTATGTAACATAATGTAAGTGTTGTTTCCAACTCTCACATCAAAAGGGAGAGAGAAAGTGGAATGACGAAAGAGAAAGAAAAACATGTGGACCCCACCTCTTTAATGTGTGTGTAGGAAAGTGAAGTTATATTATGTTAAATGATAAACATTATAAAAGGGTAAGGATCATTTTACACCAGTGTAAGTTACACTCTTAATCTTGTCTGTTGATCTCATTTATATTTAAGGGCTCTAATTTTTTAGTAATGTGAGCCATTAGATATAAGTGGATCAATGGTCAAGATTGAGTGTAAGACTTCTAACTCTTACACCGGTGTAAGAATATCCTGCCCCAACATAAAACCCTATTTAAAAACTTCAATAAATATATCGCGTACGTAAACATGCACATTGCCATTTCAATGTATAATATCCTTAACCTATTCTTTCGTGTACATAAAACATAGGGTTATTTTATTACCGTGTATGAAAGACTGTCCATTGAATATTAAAAAAATATTCCTAGTATAAAATAAATTGTAGCACAAAATTACAAACAATTCAATTGTGAATCGGTGGCTTCCTTCTAACTGCAGTGTAATCCACTGAAAACATTTCACCGCCTGCATTATCTTCATCTTCTTTTGGTTTAAATATGGGATCATGCACTTCCTTATAATGAGCTGTACTAGTGCTACCTACAATTTTGCTTTTTTCTTTCAGTGTCCGTGCTGCATATGGAAAACATGTACAAAATAAATTAATAAAATTATTTAATTAGAAAAAAAAAAAGTGAATATCATGAGAGTCTTCTGAACCCAATTTATGACTATGATCTATATAATAAAATACCTCTAGCTTGGTTAGAAATGAAGCAGAGGAGGAAGATAACCACAAGTACAATGCGCTTGTTTTGTCCAACAACCATCTTAAATAATTAAACTTATGCTCTATAACATGATCTTCATCTGAATATATGTACATGTTCATTTTGGACCCTTATATATATAGAGCCAGTTGCGACGAAGATTATTGGGTAATCATAGACCATATCATAATGTTATTCAAAAAAAAAAAAAAAAAAGACCATATCATAATGGTAGTTTGTATATTAGGGCAACAGTCTACGAGGGTCGGCATCATTGTCTGCTGTTGTCTGGCTTGAAAAGATGGGTATGTGCTTTTGGGGAAAGGCTTAAACAAGAAAACTAGAAATCCACAACATCCATGAATGTAAAATTTCTATATACGTGTATTTGGGTCATATCAATTACCCTTTTATTGTCCACTGCTTCCATTACATTATATTAATATTGTTCCCCAACTGCTCCATATGCATATTAGTTACTAGTTAGTCATAAAACTTATGACATTTCAACCTGAAAATCTAGAACAAGGAACTCATATTTTCAACAACATCATTCTGTTACAGACTATAAACTCCCATAGGACTCTCTCTCTCTCGTCTTTTGATTCAATAAGCAATTTTATCTAAAAGAAATATTGTTCTTTTTTACCCAATGGTTACCGCGGGTCACAATGATTAAAAGTGACTGTTTGAATCCCAAAGATCGAAAGTTTGATTATAAATATTCTTAAGAAATCTTTAACGTTCACCACATTCGGTCAAATTAATTGTGGAAACAATGTATATACGCAGGCTTTTTCACCTTTTTGTCCCTTATTAATTAATTAATAACCATTTTGTCCCTGATTCGAAACTATCTATCAATCTGTCCCTCTTTAATCGACTACCTTGCATTTTTAATCGACTAAATGACCAAAACAGACAAAAAATGGTTATTGGGAGATTTAGTCGACTAAGTCTGTCTATTTAGTCGACTAAATCTCCATATTTGACAACAAAGGAAAATAAGTCAGTATGATTTTAATTGATTAAGTAGGGAGATTTAGTCGATTAAATCTTCCAACAACCATTTAGTCGATTAAAAATGCAAAGTAGTCGATTAAAGAGGGGCAGATTGGTAGATAGTTTCGAATCAGAGGTAAAATGGTTATTAATTAATTAATGATAGGCAAAATGGTCAAATAGCCTATATATGTATCTCCTAAAAGATTGTTCTTTTATATGCACAATTTAAGCCATTGAAAAATCAATACTTTGATTATTTACTTATAATCCTTTGACTAAGAATCATTTCAATCCAAAATCTTAAAATGTTAGGTGAAGACATTTTTAATAGTTTATATTATTCTCTAATACACTCTCTCACGCAAGAGTCCTTTGGACTTGAAACATGAATATTATACTGACCCAATTTTTAATTTACCATATATTTATTTTAATTCTACTAGAAAGTGGTGGGGTGAGGATCGAACTTCGTGACCATGTGGTCACTTATAAAGAATAATTTCAAATCCAAAATTTTAAGGTGTTGAGTGAATGTCTTTTTAATAATTTATATTATTCTTTAACATTTGTCAAGATATTACATAAATTTTCTTCAATGTATGCAGAATTTAAAGAGTAAACACCCTTTTTAGTCCCTGGCAATATCTACGAAGTCCTTTTCAGTCCCTAGCAATAAAAAAGGACCAAATTGGTCCCTGAAAGTACAAGAAAAGGGCCACTCTACATATTTGGGAGTTGACATAAGGACTAACATGGCCCTTTTTTGTAATTTTAGGGACCAATTTGATCTTTTTTATTGCCAGGACTAAAAACGACTTCGTAGATATTGACAGGGACTAAAAAGGGTGTTTACTCGAATTTAAATAATACTTTAGAGTTTAGAGCAATAGATGATCATATTGTCATTGTGACCCTTGATTAGGACTTTGGGAGTGAGAAAAAAAGGCTACATATTTTGATTAGTAATTTTCACTTTAGGGCCTGTTAATTAACAAATAAAGCTTAAAATATGTAGCACTGTATATTGCTTTGTCATACATAATGGTTGTTTTGTTTGGTCTGATTGTTTTCTTCCCCTCTAGTTAGATTGCATACGTAGGAGATTTGATTAATTATAATCATGGAGGATGGCAGGCATTAATGACAGGAGGGAGAATACCCGACACTGATGAGACTACGATCATTTTCAGATAATAAGACAATGGACAATGTTTTTCTTGTTTGGATGATTAAGACAAAAGACATTGTTCGTATGGATCACATGGGAAGAGTGCGTTAATCATCTACTAGTTCGTATAGGTAGGCCTACTTTGTCCCTTACATATTGGCATGGAACAAACCTGATTTGGAGGGCTATTGAAGGCTATGATAAAGTGAATGAAATATAAATATTATCATAAAGTTAGAATTTAAATAATTTACTCAAGTTATTCGTCTAGTCGCGTTTTAGTTAAACCCTTGAATTTGATCGGTTCAAAAGAGAGTGAATTCGATTATATCATAATTATAATTCATAGGGAGGGTAAAGAAGTTCAAACTCAAAATTAAATTAGTCGGGTCCATTAAGATTTCCAACACCAGTTGATATTTATCAAAAAATTAAACAAACTTTAAAGAGAGTTTCTACTCTTAGAATTTCAATTCCTAATAATTAGTATCATTCTTCAATTTCAAACTAAGTGATTACCGTTAATCTACTCAGGAGAAGTGAAAATAAATGAGCAAAAATTGATAACACTCACATTAAAGTTGTTTTTTTAAGAAAAAATAAATATGGTATTGATAACATGAACATTGTTTATTTTATCCACATTTGTACGTGAAATTATTAGGTGGCTCTCTTAATCATTATGATAATAATGAAAATAAATAGTAAGTAGTTAATTTTGCTGAAAAATGCTTAATAAATTAACAAAGTGGTAAAAATATAACGCAGTTAATGTAAATTAAATTTGATTAATTCAAGTTAAATAAAGATAAAGTTAAAAGTGGCATATAATAAATTTGATTAATTCAACTATATGTCACTTTTGACCCAATTGTAATGTGGAATCATATCCCCACAATATAATGTCTTTATAGCATCTTTTATTTTTTATCTACAAAAATAAAAGAGGATATAAAATTTAATAACGGATCTATTCGAGTTTTATAACATTATTTTGAACTATATGCCCTCATCTTTACTCCTACATTTTATTCGTCTTACTTTCATACTACTAAACGTATATTATCTCTTCACAATTTCATAGTTTTGGTTTTGGATCGATGCGGGCAATGCATTGGAGGTTTTACATTGAGGGACTTCCCTTTGTATGTAAATTAGAATTGATATAACTATATGCTAAGAGTTAACTTCAAAGATCTATATATATTATTTAATTTACCCCTTCCAAAATTGAGTAGAAACTTTTTCTTTAAATTAAACAACTCCTTTTCCTTTAACTGGTTGAACGCAAGCACCGGCGGACCGACGTTGGGGCATACATAAAATTTTGAGTTTAGTTTTTTTTTTCTTCTTCTTTATTGTATGTTCTTATTTATCTTTTGGTTCAATATTTATATTAGTCACCTGTTAATTTTGCAATGCAAATGTTAAATACTTTTTTTGTGATAGATTAAATGTCAGTCATTCTTATGGCATAATACTGTTTTTCATATAGTAAATGAAAGAGATAGGATGACTTGATTTTCTAGGTTTGCACATTTCAATCGCTCAACTCAACAATCATTGAACATAGCTTCAATGTCATACTTGCTTCACTAGTAACATTTAATTTATGGGAAAAATATTTGTTCTTTTAAATAACACAACTTGTGTCATTTCACTCTCACAAAAAAGTGGGACCCACACTTTTTTTTGACCACTCTCTCCCCCATGATCTATCTCTTTCTCTCACTTAAAATGACAACTTTACATCCTTTAAAATGACACACACTTTTCTCTTAATTTATACATCATTTTTTATTAGTTTATGTTTCTATCTGCTTAGAATTGCTATTCACCTATATGTTTTTCCTGCATTGATAAGTCAACTCCTCCATGTGAAAGTTATATCAAAAATTTTTTTCGGGGCAGCCCCTCACTTAATGTGCGGACATGAATTAGTTTTTCTGGGTTCGCCACTGAACGCAAGGGTGATCTTTTTTAACGATGATGATGGAAGGGTTCATATGAATTGTTGAGATATGATATAGTCCCACATTGGTTGTATGAGCAACTAATGTGGAGTTTATAAGGTCTTGGGCACTCCCACCCTTTGAGCTAGCTTTTGGGGTGGTGTATCCCAAGGTTCTTTACATGGTATCAGAGCCTCGTGTCTCGGGTTCGATCCTCGCCGCCCCTCACTTTCTTTCGGGTGGAATTTCTTTGTTCGCACAGGTAGGTGGACCTGTGCATTGTCCACTCTTCAAGCCCAATGGTCTTTCGTGTGAGGGGACGTGTTGAGATATGATATAGTCCCACATTGGTTGTATGAGCAACTAATGTGGAGTTTATAAGGCCTTGGGCACTCCCACCCTTTGAGCTAGCTTTTGGGGTGATGTATCCCAAGGTTCTTTACATGAATTACTAGGGGTGTCAAAACGGGTTGACACGACACGAATTCGACACGACACGAATACATCAACACTAACACGACACAAATTTTTATTTGTGTCAAAATCTTCAACACTGACACAACATGAATTTTTTGCGGGTTGACACGACACGACACGACACGAATAACACGCAAAATAGGGGTCAAAACGGTAATTGACAAAAAAAATTAAAAAAATGGATCGAAATTAAAAAAATTTAAAAATTTAAAAAATTAATAATAAAAAATTAAAAATAAAATAATTTAAAAAAATACGGGTTGACACGAACACGAATACATCAACACAAATTTTTACGTGTTATTTTTTCCAACACGAACACGATACGAATTTTTTTGCGGGTCAACCCGAACATGAATTTTCGTGTCGTGTCGCGGGTCGACCCGCGTGTCAAAACTTATATTGACACCCCTATGAATTACTATAAATATGTGTTTATGGAATTATTGTTGCGCCTACTTTAAAGGAGATTCTGAATTATATCCATTCCAAAGTTTTGGAAAGCCTAATAATCATTATCCTTGCACTCTATAATCTATAGGCTTTCATGATCAGTATCAGAAAACGATATTTGAGTAAATTTCGCAGTCAAAAGAATGAAAGAAGCAAAATCAAATAATATAATTTATCAAAGGAATGTAATAATAATAATCAATTGTTATGGAGCACACAATCAAGGACTGTAATTATTCTAAAATCGTCGGATTGAGTTAGTTTAATTAATAAATGATTCAATACTGAAAGCAACTTGTTTGGAATCACGAAAGAGGCTTCATATATAAAACACATTTACCAAATGATGGTAACTTAATTGACGTCTGAGCAGATAAAGGTGAGAACCTGTGTTCGATTTTTTCCAGTATTATTTTTTAGAAGAGTTTAAAATCTTAATCTTGAGACCTGCCTCGATTAGAATATTTTCAAAATATATAAAAGATATTTATTTATATTTAAAAGAAATACTGAAAAGTTTACTGTTTCTCTTATTATTTTACTCATAATATGCAATTGTGGGCTACAAAAGCTTCTTTGCCAATTGCCACGTAGCTAATATGCATCTAGATGCATGTGGGTTTTGGCCCATTTATTTTTAATTTTTATATCGGTCCTAATTATATTGTTAAGACGAGTCTTTCCGGTGTCCCTCCAATATATTTTGATAGGAATCGAATTCAGGTTTTCTCCTCAGTTACTCGTACACCTTGGGTCATTTTTACTTTAACAAGTATACCATTATTATCAAATGGTTGTTCTTCTGATCCTCTTTTAATACCAGTCATCACTTTAATTAGTGTTTAATTAAAGTGATTATTAACTGAGCGTTTGATTAAGCAACTGTTGAAGATCTTTCATACTAGAGAACACTAGTACAATAAGAAATCATGGGTAGCCTATTAATAAAGGAAAAAATTATTGCTATCCAAAAAAAAGGAAAAAATTATTCCTGATTGTTACATATATATTATTGAACAATTTTTGTCATTTCCTCTTGTCTTCAAGTTTAATACTGGATAGCACAATTTGTTGTTTATCATGGCTGACAACTGAAGAACCATTCAGTTGTATCTGCATATATCACTATTTCATTTACGCTCATGCATTTCCACAGCTTCTAATGTACGAATTGGCTTCAAATATTCCCAGATGCTGAAAATACTACAAGAACATATATATATATATATATATATAATATATATATATATATATTAATGATCAAACTTTAAAGTCCCATCCTGATTTTGTTCTCCAACATGGCAAGCTCTTTCAGAGTGTTTACTTATGTACATAGTTGCACATACAGCAACTAAGATATTACAAACTCTGTTATCTTCACATTAAGTACAACAGTCTCTTAAAATGTACCCCACCAGAGGAAACGAATACATTATTCAAACAAAACATATAAGGTTTACATAGGGATAAGTCTGGTGAATATATTAATATTAAGCATATGTTTTTGGTGACTGAAATGTCTAATCAAAGAGCACATCTTGGGTACTACGGCAGCATCAAAAACTGGATGTGACATTGACTTTACATTATGTATTACCTGTAATACATAATATAAAGTATAATTTTTTTTTGTTCTCTCCAGGACAATTGCAGCTGACGTGGTGCACTCCTATTCTTCAGATATATCTACTCCCGTATTATATTAGATTTTTCGATAATTAAGAAGCAATTTTCAGTGTCTGATGCTGCTCAAAACTTTGAAAACTCCACCCAGTATGCTCCCCTCACATTCTCATAACCTCACAACTATTTACACGTGAGTTCTAATATATCGTTACGCAACAGCTAGACTGGTGCTTTCTCAGCACAAGTTGGTGATTTAAGTGTGGATTTTCCTAGCTTCAAAGTTCAAACAATATCTACACATTGAAGGTCATAGATAGAATTGCACAGTTTAATTAAGCACTGAGGATTGGTGCTTTTCTACCAAAAGTTTTTCTAAGAAAAAGGACTTCAATTATGAATTGGTGGCTTCTTCTTTGCAGGCGTATAATCCATTGTATCCAACTCATCACTGCTGTCTTGTGCCCCTTCATGGTTCAACTTAAACAGATTACGTTGACCCTTCTCAGCTCCAACCCCAGTCTCACGCAAACTTCTGGCTGCAAGAAAGCAAAAGAAACATCCCATAAATGAAAGACTTTGAATATTATGTATAAAATTTTAATTCTAATTTTTGCAAGACCTTGATCATGTATAATTAAATGAAACTAAGCTCACCTCTAGCTGTCATGGAGATGAAGCAAAGTAACAGAAAAGCAACCAGAACTAGGCGCTTGCTTGGTAACATAGCCATCTTAATTTAACTCTATATGAGTTTGTGGTATAACTGTGAAACCTTGCACTTGCACAAGATATGGCCTAGTTGCTCTCTTTTTATAGGCAAGGAGTTAAGTACTTGCCAAGAGGGTGCACTACCCCAGGAGGACAAGAAAAAATATTGTTGTGATTTAGGTCCAAATCAATGTCTCCTGCTCTGTCCTCTTAGAAAATGACAACACTTTGCTTGGAATAAGGATCCAAGAGCATAAATGGTTCCATTCCCTCAATGTAACTTAATTACTTGGCACTTTATGTCCCTGAACACTTCGCAATTCAACAAAAAATAACCCCCTCCCCCCCCAAAAAAAAGTCCAAAATAAAATAAGAGAAGGTGAAGAAACACCTTTTGGGGAGGGGGCCGAAGGGAGAGGGGGGGCTCCATCCTTTTTTTGTGGAGTGCCCTACGTACATGAGACTTATAAGGGTATGTATGAATACAAAAATAGGATTCAAGCAAGCACCTGACCCCTTTCCATTCTCACTAGATAGGATGAATTTCAATATTCCCTACATATATATACTGACAGACATGGAAGCTTACACATGCAATTTATGAAACATCTCTTTCTTTCATTTAGTACATATAATGACACATTATACATCTCTATTATTTTGTGCACTAGTGTACAACATTACCTACAAAGTATCTCACGAAATATTTTATTCATAGATTCGATAAAATATTAACCAATTATCTACATCTGAATTCAAAAATAAATCTTAAATTTCTAATATGATAAAATACTTTTATCAAGTTACTAAAAGTCCAGCTAGGAATCATAATCATAAAAAAATGCATAAAAACATTAAATACGGAAAATAAATGAGAATCAATGATTAGAATTACTAGCTGGACGTCTAGTTACTTGAGAAATATTTTGAGAAATATTTTGAGAAATGTTTATATATATATAGGGGTTTGCATTTATCATTTAACATGACACAACAAAATTTCTTACACACATAACATTTTGTGGGGCCCACATTTTTTGAAACAAAAAAAAAAAAAACTACAGCACGCAAAACGAATCTCTATAACGTTACACAATCACTTTTCTTACAACATAACTCTTATAAAACTCATATATATATATATGTGTGTGTGTATTTATACCGGTATAAGAATAAAAAAATTTACAATCATTTTGTATCATATATCTCAACAGTGTAATTAATAAATAAAAATCATTACATGTAGGTGAGGTCACTAGTTAAAATTGAGAATATAACTAACATTTGTATAAATTGATTATATATATGAATAAGAAATTTTACGATCATTCTTGTATCCTATTGCTCAACAGTGTAGTTAATAAATAAAAAACATTACATGCAAGTGAAGTAAACAGTTAAAACTGAGAATATAACTAACATTTGTATAAATTGATTATATATATATATATATATATATATATATATATATATATATATGGGTTTCTCATTTCTGCTGTCACTGCTGATGAAAATATATTTACATAAGATACGGAGCTGGATCCTGAAATTAAAAAAAAAAAAAAAAAATTCCAAGATACGGAACCGGATCCTAGTGGAAGTAAGCGTTGCTGCAAATTTTCTGATCTGCAGCAACAGAAGAGCTATTAAAGCCTATATATATATATATATATATATATATATATATATATATATATATATATATATATATATATATATATATATACCGAACTGGTCGGTCTGACCGGTTGGACCAGAAATTAGCCCATTAATATTCAGTCTGGTTCAAACAACGAACCAAATATGGCATTAACCTGGTATCAACCCGATGAACCGGTGATGAACGACGATTCAATCGGTATTAATTGATACTGATTTTCTTCCTCAATTGTCATGGGTTGATACAACCTACTATTTACCGCTAGGCTACATTCGGTTGTTAGTTAAATTGCACCATTTAAAATATTTATTATATAATTTTGAGTATAAAATATAAATTTATATATATCTAATCGAGTCATGCAATTCAACCAGTGACCTATTGATTGAACTATTGATCATTGACCCAGCATCCCGACCTAGTCGATTAACAGTTCTAAGTTTAATAACATTGTTTTGCACTCAAGTATAAAATTTAAAAGCCATATAAGTGTACTTGTGGTGAGTGAACTTGGGTAATATTTTAAATGATGCAATATGTTCAAACTTCAATGCTAACATTGTATAAATAATATATATATATATATATATATATATATATATATATATATATATATATATATATATATATATGAATTAAATTTAAACATGAATTAAATTTAAACACTTGCCAGTAGAAATTAGGAAACTTGAATTTTCAACATATGTGTGTGTATATGTGTACATGCACGCAAATAGTGATACTAGTGAAAATCCTATGTAATGCAAAAGATATTAATCTCTTCTTTATATATTGAGTATATATATGAAGATATATTATCATCACTGTGTAGGCAACTATATAGAATTTGAAAAATTCTCATTCACTCAAGTATAAAACCTGATATTAGGCGTCTTGCCCATAGTACTTGACTACTTGGCAGGAAAACTCTCTTCCATGCACATGACTTTTTCCCCTACTACATGCACAGAGTGGTCGATATGCGTCTATGCGTACAAGCAATACCATAGGATATGTAGCATCCAGGGCGAGCGAGCACCTCTTATTTAATTATTCTATCTTCCTCCCTAATCATCCCCCTTAATCATGCCTACTTTTAATTTGGTTAACAAAGAAAGAAAACCATGCATTAATGAACGAAAATATATAACCGACATTGGTGGGACTTCGATCATTTTCGGATAAGGCGTTGAACAATGTTGTGTAGGGGGAATCACGTGATCCATCTAATTGTGGGGCTGCTTTGTCCCTTAATATCCCATATACAAAATACTGATTTGATTTCCCTATTAATTCTCAATATTACAGACAATACAAATGGAAAAAGAAACATTAGGAATGCGTGTTCGAATTTTTTCAGTACCGTCTTTAGGAAGGATTTAAAGCCGTGGACGAACCTTGCGGAGGAACCCTTAGGTTTTCGAAGTATTGGATTCTCACCAACGTTTGCGTCTTAATCTTGTACTTACTCCAAATCGGATTAGTTGCGAAGCAATGAACCGATTGGAATATTTCTAAAAAGAAATATTAGGAATGAAAAAATAAATTAGAAAGATAATGATATACCAAAGCAATTTCCAATAAACGTATCATACAATATCATTATTTTACCAATGTATACAATAATGAGACCAAATAATATCATTGATAATTCTTTTCCATGATCGAAATTTGGAAACTCTCGCATTAGATTATTGATGTACCATTGATGAATCCAAATCCTAATTATACATTGCACAGATAGTAAAGGACACACCATGCCCCCGCATAGAGACACAGTATGCTTTATGAGCCAGTTTCTTTGAACGGTGGATCAATTGGAGAATAGTGGACCCCTCTGATATTGCAATTTCAGCCCTTTCAGTGAGCCCACATGTGGGAGGGTCCGGTTCATTAAATTGCAATAGCCCACCCACACAGACCCACAAGAGTAAAACCACCTCAAACAAACAAACGAAAAAAAACAACCTACCAAAAAATAAATAAACTCAAAGGTTATGCTCGTTAGCAGAGAATAATCACACACACAAGTAAAAGAGAGAGGAGAAGAAAAAACAGAGATACAAATTTACCTTTACCTGATTCATTTAATATAAGTTATATTTAGCAATATTTAACTATATATTTTTAGATATGGAAATATGGGTTGAACTCATCGGGGCAACCAGTCAAAACGGGTCGAGTTGAGTTACACATCTCAACCCATCAACCCGTTCCGCCGGGTTACAAATCAAAATAGGTTAGCGGCAGGTCAAGACTGGTTGGCCCGCTGGGTCTTTTTTTTTTACTATTAGGTAATATTTTATTTGTCACTAAGTTTTTGTGATATCTAATTTTTTTTTATCTTAATACTCTCTTGGAAAAAAATAAAGAAGAAAAACTTTATTTATGACAAAAGTTATATATATATAGAGACAAAATTAAGTTTTTAAAAAATATTCGACTGAATATTAACATATATTTAGGCTTAAGATTGGAAAAAAATTAAGGAGAGTGTGAAATAAAAATAAGTAATATTATGAAATTTATAAAATATAATTCATTTTTAATTTTTTAGATAGTTGACCCACCAATCCACCATAAAATGGGACGGATTGAATCTTACAATTCACATTCATAAGGCGGGTCGGGGCAGGCCAACTCGTTTTTTACGGGTTGGCGGGGTGGGGCAGATAAGGACGGACTGACCTATTTTGTTATCTCTGCTCGTTACAAAGTACTATATTTAGAATAAAAGTTTAAAAACCCTAAGCAATAAATAATTATTGATTAAAAAATAATTCCGCTGAATATGACCCGTACCGAACAATTCCATTGACCTTCATTTCCTCCACATGCAAAAAAGAAAGGCCCAGCAAATTGGAATCAACTTTCGTGCGTGAATCTGACAAACCCTCCACTCTACATGTGGAGAGTTGAAAAAGAGAATTTCCATTATTCACCTAAAAGTTTCAGACCCTAAAATGTCAAAAGAAATAAAACACTATGTCAGACGAGCAAAAACAAAATCTGAAAAACTCATTGCCAGCAATCTACTATTATTTCTTTATTATTAGTGTTTGCACTTATTATTTAACATGACACAAAAAAGTTTCCTACACACATAATATTTCGTGAGGCACACGTTTTTTGAAAAAAAAAAAAAAAACTACAATATGCAAAACAAATTTCTATAACATTACACAATCACTTTTCTTATAACATAACTCTTATAAAACCTTTATTATTAATATCTCTCCTTTGCTAGTGCTCAGTGTCACACAAAGCTAAGGATATCGTTGCATGAATGCAATGACAGACCTAAGAAAACAAAACACTGTTTGAAGTAAATTTGTAAATTTTGTCCCTTTATTGCTTGAAGTTGAAAGAGAGGAGTTAAAAATATAATTTGTGTGATTATTACTATA